TTATGCAGGATGCTCCAATATTTTCTTTGGATGATGATTCTTTTCCAGGTTCATTTGATAGGCAAAAGAACAACTCTGCTAATCTTCCTGATCTTTTGAGTGTCAATCAACTTATGGAATCAGTATGTTAGCCACTACATGTTTTTATTTATTTATAGATTTTATTGATTTAAAAGAAATGTAGCCTTTTGTTGGTTTGTTAATCAAGCAAAATTCAGAGAGAGGAAGGTACATCATGACAATATTTTGAAAGCATGCTTTATGCACTCAGGTCCTGGAGACAGCACATCAAGTTGGAAGGTTGTCAATCTCAAATGCACCTGATATGCCTTACAAGGAAATGGCCGGCCACTGTGAGGCACTCCTGATAGGAAAGCAGCAGAAGATGTCCAGTTTGATGAATTTCCAACAGAACCAGGAATATTTGATGAACCTATCTTTACAAAATCGTAACGATGATGTGAAATGGATGACGTCCGATTTCCAAGCTGATGCCGGTTCCCATAAGGTACTTCCTGGATTTAACTTAAACCATGGATACTTGTGCTATATCAATGTATATATCTACGCATACCATGCACGTGCTCTGGCTGGAATTTTGATGTAGTTGAGTTGTAAAGATACATACTCTCCAGAATTTTGATCTGCATGCAAACTAATTCTCACCGTTTCTCTCTCTGTGAAAATCTAATATCGTGAACTTGAATGAAATGCAGAGCGGTAATCCTTTTGCTAATCAGACTGCCACTTCATACATACCACCTCAAACCCCAGGCTGTGTCCCAATGATGTGTGCAACTGAGTACCAGCAACATCCCCACTCCTTCAGACTACCGGCCTCAAGTCCATATGACAACTTCCTAAAAGCTGCAGGCTGCTGATGAAAGGAAATTTTTGGTAATCCAGTGAATTTAAAATGCTCAAGGGTTACCGGCTTTAGGTAATTTTTTGTTTTTATAGCTTTTCCTTCTTCTTTTAGGCTTTGTTACTTAAGGAAGAGATTGTTGTCACCAAACATCCACCAAGTTTTTAACCCTTTTCGTTTCCAATTCTTTCATTCTTTTCATTTTCCCAACATTTAGTAGTTGACTGTACAATTGGTCTTATGAAGTTCTCGTAGCCTTGTAGACTTTCTCGTTACTGATTTGATCGGTTTTGATCTATAAAATTTCATTTATTTGTTACTTTCAATTGTCACTGTGGAGCTGTATGCGATTTGCAAACTTCACTGCTACCCAGACACAAGACATGTCTATAGTTCTCACTTGGGTTTCTTTTATAGCTCACTATGTACATGGAGCTATATTTCTTGCCATATCTTTACTTGCAATATATACAAGTGCTATTTATCACTTGCAATTATTTGACGGAAAGTTTGATGAAACTGAACTTTGATACAAAATTGAAACATAACATGAAAGTTTGGGTGGTTAATTGTAGAACATTTTGGTCCATGTGGGGCTTGCACAAAACTGAAGAAGTTCAGTGGTTTGGGGCTTGCACCTAGATCTAAGATTTTCTTTCTCATCTTTTTCACTCTTCTCCTTCTCTTTAAGTTCTAGGTTGTATTCTCAAACAAGGTTTTACTCAATACCACTCTACTGCACTTGCTTGTGCATTCTGCTCCTGCCTCAGATAAAATCTTTTCTTCGTTGTTTCTGGTTGAATGAAATGCTCCGGCCTCCATTCTTTTTCTGGGCTTCAATGAAATGCTAGTAATTAAATGAAAAATGAAAAAGAAAGAACAAGGATGCCACATAACGCATCTGTAGGGGGGGTTTCAATGTGAATGGAAGAACTATGGTGGTAATAAATTGGACTTGAGCTGTTATGTATTGGCCTGTTTGTAATGATCTGTTCCTTTTTAATGAAACTTATCTTAACAAAAAACAAAGTCCAAATCATATACTCTATCAAATCAGCAAATGAAATTCAATGTGGCCATATAATTACCGCATGGGATTTATTATATTCGACGCAAAATAGTATCGATTTGTCTATATTGATTGTTACCTAAACAGAACTACATGAGTAAGCTTCTCTCCAAAACAAAAAACAAAAAACTACATGAGCAAGCTAGAAACTCGGAATTTTTTGAATTTTTGGAAAATTTCGAAACTTATACATTTTGGAATTTTTTAAAGAAAATTTCATAATGTAGTTCAAAATTTTAAACATGTCCAACAACCGAAAAAGCTAGAAAAACTATTATATAGTAGTATTTAGATATTATTATCTTTTATGGAATAACGCATCTATGTCTATTTAGTCATTAACTTATATTTAGTTCAACATGAAATAAATCATTGTGTGTAGTCTAATTTGAAACCGCAAAATATTCCGGAATTTTTGGAATCTTGAGATACATTCCAATTCCATTTTTATTTTTTCCAGATTTTTTTTTCGGACTTTGGAACTTTTGGATGTCAAAATTGATTTGAACTTGTCAAAATTAGAATTTTTCGAATCAGAATCGGCCAAAAACGGAATTTCCAATCCAACTTCCACCCTCAACCAGTAATACATACTCAAACTTATTATATATAAATCAAATAATATATAAGTCAATTACAATATTAGAGAATTCAGAATTGTAATCCAATAATAAGGGTGGTTTATGCTGTGAACATTATGAGAATTATTAAATTAAGAAAATAACCTGGTTATGTGCAAAATTGTGAGTGATTCAGTCACAGCAGATTTCAAACCCAAAAAAAAAAAAAAATCACAGCAGATTTTGGCAATACGGAAAATGAAGTATCGTTGACTTTTACATTTGTTGACCACGGGATACGTCGTAAAAAACACACAGGTTACGCCCAAGATACGTCTAGGGGTTATTGTGTAATTTGTTAGAAAATTATGTAGTCGTTTAGAAGATTATAACGAATATGGGGTCAAAATGTAGTTTTTAAAAATTGGCCACATCACACCTGAGCGTTTCTTCTTCCGGACAGAAAGGAAATCTAGGTTTTTCTATTTGAAAAGAAAAGGCTGCACCAGCAAACTCAAGGAACCAGATCCAGAAGGAAGACGAAGGAAGAAGAAAGAAATTTCTAAGGCACCTCTTCGTCCGCACTGAAATTTTTGCTCCTCCATCTGCTACACCACCAGGTTTATTTTAATTTTATTTGTTTATTTTTATAAATCTTCACTTCGTTCGTTGATGTATTAGTTCATTCGTTATAACCAAATCCAAATCCTGTTCGGATTATTTTGATTAGTTAATTTTTTGTTATAAAAATGAATTCTTTTGTATGAAAATGATATTGGGGAGCGGATCTTCGTGAATCACTTGGGAAATGAATGGTTTTATTGGATGTGTTAGGTTCTGTGCGTTGTTCTTCCATGGAAGCAGTTCTTAACTGAGGAACCGGCAAACCCATTGCTAATTGTTTGCTTTTGTTTTGTGGACCTGAATTGGAGCCTTAATTTGGGACATTTGTTTGGTGGCTGAGACTGGACAGGATCGGGATTGTGTACAGTCATATCCCATAGAGTCTCCCACCCTTGCGAAGGGGAGGAACATCCCTGCCTCGGTTTCACTATCGTCTTCTTCCTGTCTCTCTACTCATGCCACCTGAGGGCAGAGATAGGAAGAGGGGATAGTGAAACTAAGGTAGGGAAGTATTTTTCCTCGCAATTCTCTGATATATGGAACAGTTGTCCAATTTAATGACTCCAATCCCACCATTGTTAAGTTCATCATTAGAGTCAAACCCTTGCTGAGGAGAGAAACTTCCATGCCCCGGTTTCACCATCCCCTATTCCCGTCTCTCTATAGGTGACATGAGGAGAGAGATAGGAAGAGGGAAATAGTGAAACCGGGTGAGGGAAGCATTTTTCCTTGCTCAAGGGGACTTGTCGTCACTAATTTGTGGAAGAGTTGTCCAATTTAACGTGTCTAATCCGACCATTGTTAAGTTTATCAAACATAAAACAGAACATTTAGTCCATTTAAATTGGTCTTGCCCTGTCTAGTCCCAGCACCGAATAGTGAACTGGGTTATGTTTCTCATTTGCCTAGGGAACTAATTAGTCTATTTTAGAGTAGTCGATAGGGTTTTAGTTTGTTTGAATACCTTCCTTTTTTTATTGTCATTGCTTTTTTCCCTGATGCAACTCTGTTGTGTTTCTGAGTGGCAGTTTGAAAATGTCTGCAAAATACATCGTTCCTGCTGTATTCGGATCATTTGCTGTGGCATGGACATGCGACTATCTTATGGCTGACAAGAAAATATTTGGAGGCAAGTTGGTGTTTCTGTTTTTTGAAGCTTGTTGCATAATACTTGGTGCAATAGTCTGATGTTATTGTGAATTTTTATTAACTTAGGAACTACTCCAACAACTGTTGCAAGCAAAGCATGGTGGGAAGAAACTGACAAGAAGTTCCAGGCATGGCCTCGTACTGCCGGTCCACCAGTGGTCATGAACCCCATCAGTCGTCAGAATTTCATTGTCAAGTCTCGTGTTGATTGAAGATTTTCATGATCATCACTCTGTTTATGTAACCAGTTCTAAACAATGTTAGGCTGGACTTGATTCCTAAAGGGTTAGCCATCATTTCATAACATAATGGCTTTGATATACTTTCCTCCTTTGTTCTTTGGTATTGGGTTGTTTGGATAGCGTTGTCAACCTTTCTGCGATATGAATAAATTTCAGTGAACCATCTTAAATCTCAGGTCCAAAAACCCATTTTTGAATTACCATTTATTTATCTTCTCATTTGTTTCACCAATAATATTAAAGTCACCACAAGCTCTCCTAGATTTTAGTCCCTAGTTGATATGGAATATTTCAGTGGATAGAAATGAGTGAGGTTGAAGTGTTTACAGATTTTTAGATTCCACAAAATTTGAAGACCAGAAAATTCGGTATTGTAATCGCAGGGCGAAACAAGTAACAAAAACTCTTTTAAAATAAATAAATAAATAAAATAACTAAGTAACAACTCATGAGTAAATATAATACAATCAGCCATTTCACTTAATCCCCTTGACAATAAACAGATGAAATACCTGAGAACAGACTGAATGGCCTCAACAAATTATGTGGAAAAAAATTCCCATGTGGATGAAGATTTCCCACCAACCACAACTCAAATGATGATCCGAGTGATTTGAACTCAGATCTTGACAAATTTTTCTTTGCATAATAAGGTATTTAAGGATTGAACTGGATTAAAGAGAAGCTGTAAATGATTGTTGATATGCACCTTCACATAAAAAATTTGAAAACCAGGAACTACAACATTATACTTGGGACCTAATATGTAAAAGAAACTCAAGAATAATCCTTTCCTATGGGAGGACTCTCCTTCCATATTCATCCACCACCAATTCCTGCATCAACTCAAATCACAAGCGCCATTTCACTTGAACACATAGCAAGGAGATGGATGATCTGAAACCATCCCAGCCGGAGTAAAATTTAAACATGACCACTTCCCCTGGGGTTTCAACTTCACATCAACAAAAGAGCCTTGATCTGATGGGTTCATGACATAGAAGATCAAATGGCCGAGTATCCATCAGTTCTGTTTTATTTCTTGAAGCATTTCCACAACCTTCTTCATTTTGGGTCGTTTGGCCGGTATGCTGTCAGTGCAGAGTAGTGCAATCTTCAGTGCTGCGAGCATTTCTTTCCGCCAACCAAAGGAAACTGTGCTAAGCCTTGCATCGAGAATCTGCTCAGGGGTTTCACCTCTTGATGGAGCATTATGCACCCACTTCACCAAATCCACCCCCTCGTCAAAGGCCTCATCTACTGGTAATTTGGTTGTAAGGATCTCAAGCAAAACAACACCATAGCTGTAGACATTCCCGGGTGCTGTAACTTGCATTGTATATGCATATTCTGATGATAGAAGAGAGAGAAAACAGAAAACATGATTAGTAATAAGGGCGAGAGAAAGAAAGAAGGGGAAAGTTGGAATTGAAAATTCATGGCTGCATATAAGATAGAACACTAACAAAGCTACCAAATGAAAGGATTGAAAATTGAACTGTATCAAACTATTAATATACCTGGAGGAATGTATCCAAAGGAGCCTGCAACTGCACTTATACTGGCTGTGCCCCTGGATGGATCCAAGAGCTTTGATATCTCAATCTCTCCAACCAATGGCTTGAAGTTGGCATCCAGAAGAACATTACCAGAAGAAATATCAAGGTGGATAATTGCCACGTGATGAAGAAAGGCCAATCCTTCTGCAACTCCGATGGCAATAGAAAGTCTTGTTGGCCAGTCGGGTTCATATTCAGGTAGCTTGGTAGATTCATGAAGAAGCTGACACAATGTCCCATAGGGCAAGTAATGATGCAGCAAAAGAGCAACATCTTCATAAATAACAAATCCGATAGGACGCACTAGGTTATCATGATAGAGTTTGCTCAGCCTTTCAAGCTCTCTAATCATCTTGTTCTGGTGATGAATGATTGTCCTGTCCATGGATTTCAGTCTCTTCACTGATAGAATCAGCCCAGATGGCATAACAGCCTTGTAAACTGTGCTAAAAGTCCCAGTACTGAGCTTGTTTGAATCCTTCAGAGTTGCTTTAACAGCATAATCAAGATCTATTGCTTGTTTGAGATTCTCAACAAAGACATTCCCTGCCACTATTGCCGGTACATTATTGGCTTCCTCATCTTCAGTCCCTGCAGATTTTTCTGCCTTCTCCTGTCTCTCTCTGATCATAAACAGCAGAACCACTACGGTTACAGATACAAAAACTGCCAAACCAGAACCAATAACGGCCAGTACGATCCTGTAAGAAACCCTGTGATGGTCATTTGCATGGCCACCACTGTTAGAATTTCCACATGAGGAGCTCAGTGGCTCTCCACAAAGCCCTTTATTTCCAAGAAAACTGGAATTTGGACTCTTCTGAAATGGTACAAATGTGGGTACTGGGCCAGTGAACAGATTGTTGGAGAAATTGACCTCTATCAAGCTTAACATCCCCTTAAATGCAGTTGGAATGATATCAGAGAGCTGATTATTGGAGACATCAAGAGAAACCAGCTTGTCAAGTTTACCTAAATCAGGGGGAAGAGGTCCCCTGAGATGATTGAAGCTTAAATTTAAGGCTATCTGTAAGTTCTTTATTCGACCAATTTCAGGAGGGATACTGCCAGTCAAATAGTTTCTTCCCATTTGCAACTCAAGCAGTTTAACACAGTTTCCAATCTCATGAGGTATCTCTCCCCTTATGGAATTCTGACCCAACTGCAAGTACTGCAATCTCGACATGTTGCAGATATCATTTGGTATGCTACCATTGATTCTGTTATTGCTTAGGTCCAGCTTATTAAGATTCTTGCACCCAAGAATTGATTTGGGAATCTCTCCAAACAGACTGTTACCAGAGAGAATTAACTCCTGCAGATTCATAAGCTGCCCAAGCTCAGGAGGAATCTTCCCAGTAAATCCATTTGAGGCTAAATTTAGGAGGGTGAGATTAGAGCACTTGGAGAATTCTGGAACAATCTCACCAGAAAGATTGTTGTTGTCTGCTTCAAAGTAGGTGAGGCCACTAATATTCCCAATTGAATGAGGAATGCTACCTATAAGATCATTGTTCCCGATTCGGATACTAGATAAGCTACTGCAGTTTCCCATTTCTTCAGGAATGTCTCCACTTAGTCTGTTCTGGGTCAGAACCAAAAACTCCAGCTTCCCAGAAGCAAAAATACTTTTGGGAATTGGACCTTCTAGCTGGTTAGAATGCAGATTCAACGATTCAAGCTCAGAAATTGAGCCAAGATTATCTGGAATTTTACCCTCCAATTTATTCTCATAGGCAGTAAAAACCCTCAAATTGGTCAAATTGCCCACCCACTTTGGGATACTGCCATTCAACCTATTACTAGAAATTTGAAAATCCTGTAACTTCTCTAGGGCCTGAATTTCATCTGGTATTTCTCCCACAAGCAAGTTATTGGACAGGTTCAATGATCTAAGGTTTCTGAGATTACCCAGCTCTGGTGGAAGTGAACCTCCAAACTTATTCAAAGACAAATCAAGAAATTCAAGCTGAGATAAGTTTCCAAAAGCTGAAGGAATTGATCCTTGGAAATCATTATAAGAGAGGTCAAGCCTCTTCAAAGCTCTAAGCTCAGAAATAAGAGTCACATTACCTCGGAGGTTATGACGAGAAAGATCAAGCTTTTCCACCATAGAACGGTTCAAACCGCAGCTAATGCCAGGCCAAGAACAATAATCTGAGAAGTTGGCACCCCAACCGGGTACTCCAAGTTCTTCGTTAATGGCTGACAATGCAGTTAAATCATGAAGCTGAGCACCCACAAGCTGAGGCTCAGACAAGCACCCAACTAGAAGAAGACATAACAAGCACAAAACTGCCATTGTTGAGTTGTCTTCTTTTAAAGTTGGAACACTTCCTCTGTGGAAAAGAACTCAACTTTCTTCTCCAAACTCCCAAACAGTGACAAGGGCATAAAACCCCTTCACCTTCCAAAACCCGCCTTTACTTTCTTCAATGATTTCCTTTTTGGCTTCTGAACTTGGAACCAAAGATCAGTTTTCTTTTTCTTGATCAGAGAATCAAACCCAAAAAACCATTCAAGGAATTCACCATGAAAATGCCATGAAAACCCATGACCCAAAATCAGTCGTCACCTTTTCCAAAAGTACCCATTTCAGATTCCTTCAAAGAAAGGCATTGGCGCTGCATACAGAGCAAACCAATCCCTTAATCTTGAGGGGAACAAGAGAAAACAAAGCACACCAATCAAAGGCTTTTCTTTTCAGGATTGGAACTCAAGACCCAAATGAAAGGAAGAGCTACAGACCGAAACAAGAGGAAGCAAACAAAAGAGCTACAAACATGATTGCATTATGGAACATGGGTTGTAATTATACATGGAAAATGCCCATGCCCTTAGTTATAAAACAGCCATGATTGCAAGGCCAAACAAGAAAATGACTCCAGAGGCAAGGGTTTTGTGAAATGAAAGGAAGAAGAGTAAGTGATGAGCAAAGAGTACAGAGTACAATGTTTTGGTACAGGGTTTCACGGACCAGGTGTTTCTCTTTGTCTCTGAGAGAGAGAGAGAGAGGGAGAGAGATTTGAGCAGTAGTGGAGTAGGGAAGTGAGATGAAATTGTTTGTCACGTAGGCTTTCACGAGGAATGGGCAGTGATGAGTGAATGAACTATCAAGGCTGCTGCTGCATAGGGCCTACCTAACCCGTACTGCCTTTACCATATTAATACGTCTACCTATATAAAGTATTAACGAGATAAAAAGTACTTGTAGCTCTAATAATTAAGAGTAGCTACGTCACTATGTTTTGTATTCGAATCCACTTTTCTAATATTTCTTGTATAAAGACAATAAAAGAAAGGGTGATGAAGTTGAAGATGACTATTTGGTCAGAATTCAACTCTTGCCTTCAAATTCGTTATATATAAAAAACCAAAAGAAATTCCAACTTCAAAATTTTTAGGGGTGTACATTGGTTCAAAACCAATGAATTTTTATCAATCCAATTCAATCTAATATTTTATTGAATTTGAGATTTTACAATCCAATCCAATGTGTTCGGATGTCAGGATTTAATCCAATCCAATCCAATCCAATGTACATTGAATTGGATTGGATGATCAGTTTGTATGAAAATATGATAATCACAAAGATAATAGTATAGAATTCAATCCGATAGAAAATATCATTAAGTATGTAATAAATAGACATAAATAAATTTTAGAAAACAACATTACAGAAGTTCAACACAAAAGGTAGAAATCTAGACATAAATAAGTTTTAGATAATACCATGTTATAGACACAAATAAATTTTAGAGTTGAAGTTGCATCAACTCCTTTATAAAATTAAAAAAAAAAAAAAAAAAAAAAGAAACGCTTTAGTCAACACAAAAAGTTAGAAATCTAAAATTTTTATGCTATATTAATATATTGTTTTGAGAAAAAATATCAACAAAGTTGTGTTGGTGCATTGGTATAAGTGAAATGTGAAAGGTGGTTTAGTTTCAAAAATTAGGAAAGGTAAATATTTGCTTCTTTTTTTTTAAAAAATTTTTATAAAAAGGTTAGATCAGAATTGGATTTCAAACTCTGGATCTGCTAATCAAATCGATCCAATCGATTTTTCATTTTTTGGATTGGAACCAATCCGCTGATATTATCGAAACTAATAAAATTACATTATATTGAATTGGATTGATCAGTTTTGACGAATTAGTTTGGATCCTGTACAACCCTAAATATTTTGCATAATCCCTATGTATAGCTGCCATTATTAATTTAAGGTGCAAAAAATTATGAATAAATAGTAGTCATGTTGGCAAATTTTACAACAATAGAGAAAGGGAAAAAGAAAAGATGAATCATTTTGTTTTGTAAGACTTATTGTGCTATATCATTTTTAATTTTAGGAAGCAAGTACCTTGTGAATTTTAAATGGTTATTTTAGTACATAAAACATGTAGGTCCGCCGAGCATATTCTTTGTTAACCAATGCATAATTGGGGGTTGGCTTGGCACTTGTGCTTTTAAGAGCCCATTAAACTTTTGAACTTAGTTACTTGGCATCACTCATTGCCTTGACTCTTGTTACTCTTGCGCACTTCCCTTTTGGCTATATATTTCAAGTGGTTGCAGCTTAAAGCGGCTTTCAATTGTGGAAAAGAGAAAGACAATAATAACATCTATAGTTATATATATCTGAAAATATAACTATATAAAAGAAAAAAAGACATGAATAAAATTTCCTCAGTGACCTGAACTAGCTGAAAGACGAAAATGAAAACGTGAAAATAAAATAGAAACTAAGAGCCAACAACTATTCAAAATCAAAGCAACCAACCACTCCAAATATCTTTTTGATTTTAAGGAAACAAATACGTGCAAGCATAAGCCACAAGTAAACCTAGGATTCCTTCCATGTGGGTTATGTATGTTTCACATGATGTGCGCACAGCCTAACATGGACATTTTCAGTGTTATGGGAATTTTTGACAGTACCAGTAGTCAGTACTCAACTTTTTCATGTAGTTTAGTTTGTCTCTAGAAACCTGCAAGATTATATAAACAAGCAGAAATCATGGGATATTCAAGGGGACGCTACACTAACAAAATGGTTCTAATGGACATAATAGGAGGATTATAGTATAAATGTTAGCATTCAATTCAAAGCCAGTTGATAATGAGTAAAAATTAATAATGCAAGACTTTCATTTTTGGATACTCTTGATATGCCCTCTCATGTGTAGCGTCACTAAGTGAAACACCTATACAACAAATATTACTTCGATAACATAAGAGCACGTGTGGTGATCATTTTGCCTAAAATGTGGATAACATCCCTTGATATCTTCTTATGTAATTGAATAAATATATCAGATTGAGAATCTGATAACATAATTGTATTTTAAACTTGTTTCATTTTCAATAACTTTGGATTTTTGTGTACATATCCAATACATCTAAGTGCTTAGAGTACCCTTACCACATGGTACTGGGGCAATGAGCATTTGTTGGGAAAGACAATCTCCTGAAGGGAGAGAGTGGGAAAATCAGATGGTTTTTCATATAGGGGATGATAAATTAAGTAACGTGTCAATGTGACAAAGCTGTCGAAAAGAAGACGGGACAACATGTACATGTAAGGGCTACAACACAAAAGTGGCACAGTGGCAGATTCTCCTAGGTCTTGCAGCTTGCTGCAGTTGGTGCTCTAAATCTTACACACACAAAAGTGTTGTTAATTAACCTAGAAGTGCTCCATTATTTTATGTCTTAATTTGTCATAATTTTCAAACCCCACTTTGGAAAGCCCACTTTGTCTTTTAATTGTTCCTTTGCTTCTGTGTTAGTGTTATCATTCCTCTCTCACAGAATCTAATCAACGACAGGTGGTTTGTGATACATGACCGAATGAGTGCAAATAATATATATATTGTTACTTGAAATTTTTTGAAATTTTAGGATTATGTTATTGAGACACTAACAAAATTATCATGCATTGATTCTCATGAAAACATTAGAGATAAATTTAAAAAAAAACATGCATGATGATTTTTTTATGTGTCAGATAACATCTCTCATATTTTATTAATTTAATTTGGAAGAAAACCCTCATAGATGGTTGAATAGCAGATTTTTAATGTCCAAATATAAAAGCCTCATGTAAACCAAATGTTAAACACTTTCTAACTAATATTGTAATCACCCGCCTAAATACATATTTCCCTCCCTCAGGCAAAGGTTATGATGCTCTTGATCGTATACTAACACTTCATAGTTATGTAAGGAGCTTGTAGCTCAAGTGATTAAGAGTAATTATTCATGTACATAAGGTCATATGTTCGAATCTTCATCCCTCAATATTTTTTGTATAAAAGAAAAAAATATTGATAGTTATAAGGGCTTACATGTATCTTGTTAGAATGCTTTCAAAATTAGCAAACCTAATATATATGTAGCTCTGGAATTTGAAACGCTGCAAATTATTGAATTTGTAAACTTTTCAGCCTCCTGGCCATCAAATTCCATCCTCCTCTTGTCCAAATTCAAACCTCCTCTATAAACAAAAACAAAGGAGGGGCCAACATGAATAATTTGATGTGGTGTATGGGACCCCCCAGTAATGGGTCAAGGGTGTGGCCTCTCTCCAAGACAAGAAGGGACATATCATGTCTGTATAGGACTACGCTGAACTAACATATTGTATGATCTTATATTAAAAAAAACATATTATATGATATAAAGGCTAACGCATACATGGAAAAGCCAGAAAAGTCACATACCCTGCTCTAGGAAAATCTTTCTTCTTGTAACATTTTCTTTGGTGGACAAGATTAAATACATTGTGCATAAAAATACGTTGTCATGAGGTGAATTGTTTTTTTAATTAACGGGAGAGAAAAATTGCGTTTGAGACATCTGATAATATTGAGAAGAGAAATACCATTAAACTATAAAAGCTGGTTGGTACATGATTATGGAGTTTAAAATCAAAATCACAACTTTCTTTTCGTTTTTTCAAAGAATTTATCATCAGGTTATAAAGGTCAATAATAATTTTATTACAATTTAGAAGCATTTTTGTATCTATCTATCAAGAGATAAAAAAATACAATTTTTTAAATAAAGATCAAAACAACAAGACCGAAAAAGTCTAAAGTAAAATGAAAGCAATTATATGTTATTATTGATAATTATTATTTCATTCATATTAGTCATTATAGAACCATAATGAGTTGTTATTTATATGCATAAACAATAACAAACCACTCGATTAGCAAATAAAGAAGAGAACAACAACAAGCCTAAATCAAGCCGGGAATTCTGCAGGGATGAAGGATTACATACGAAGATTTAGAATACAGGCATACCTTAGAGTATACTATAGTGGTGGGGTTGATTAGAATGTGACGTTTTTTAAATTATGGGATTCCATGGCGTGGTTGATTTTAGGGTGTGAAGTACAAAATAAAATAAAAACGTGCATTAGGCTAAGATGGCACCTATATGGTCATGGAAATGCCTTATTACTCCTATTGGCAATAATTTTATAAGCATGAAGCTTGGATTACCAGCCAAATTGCATTATATAAACAATCGTCACGTTAACAATTTTTTTTGGGCATGTAAACATATTTTGTTTGGGTGCCATTTATTATCATTGTTTTTAACATCAGGACGTGAAATACCACTCAATCAGGAGTTAATTGATTCACATAAATATTTCTAAGTTTATGACTGGTCGACAAGCATGTAAAAGATGGTTTAGAAATTTTCAATTACACAAAAGGAAGGATGATGTCCAAACTATACCTAGTTTGCAATTCTAAAACTAATGAACAAAACTATAAACCTCTTGAATGGATTTTAGAAATTGTTTATGTGAGTTCATAGTGCTCATCATTTGTTTATGCGCCATTTCATGATAGGGGGAAAATGGGCCTTTCCTGTATTAATATTTATCATAATTTCTTTGATTTGAATGGGTCCTCTCTGTGTGAGAGAGAGAGAGAGAGAGAAAACAGTCAAAAGGCAATTTGTGGTTGCATTGCATCAACAAAATCCTGTTTGTTGTACTATGGATATTGAATAGAGGCCATCCCATCACCACCTTCCCTTCCCCCCTAATGAATCACCCTTTTTTCACTTTCGAAGGACATGACTCCACCCACCCACCTTCTACTCTACCAATGGCATGTGCATGAGTGATGGTGTGGGGAAACCACTTTAGGGGATTGTCATCCATATGAGTATGACCACAAAGAAAGAAAATAAAAAAGGACTGTAAAAGCAAATGGTATTTCACTGTGCAATCTCTATTGATTGAGATTGGGCTCTCCCTTTACTAGACATGCATCATGACCCTTGTAACATGGTTGTCTCACCTATTTCGGGCACAAATGTCCTCTCTCTCTCTCTCTCTCTCTCTCTCTCTCTCTCTCTCATATGTATTTTCCAGTCCTACTCCGTCACTCATATTCATAAAGCCTAATTCCCATCCAGAAATCTCTTTTATTTTATTTTTTATAATACAAGCGATAGTTTAAAAAATTAATCCACACCCCAACAGGTCTGTCTAGGTAGAAAATAGTCTGAACTTGTAGATTAGTGGTTTCAATTTTGATCCCCATGATGCCTTAACAGAGCGTATGTGTGTGTGAAACTCCTCTTCCCTTGTAGTTTAAATTATCACTTGTATTAAATATATACACACACTCTATGAGAATGGAGATTCAAATTTGAGCGCAAAGAGGAGCTCATTGATATAGCCAACTAGCTTAATCGAGGTCTGCTTCTCCTACTCAAATTTAAAAACTGTTAACAAAGACATTTGTACACATCCTGACTTTTGGACAGCCCATACCGTCTATTAGTATGACCCAAAACATAGGGCTTGAACAATTCTGAGGATAGGGCGACGTGGAATTTGGTTATAAAGGTTTTGGGCTATGGGTCAACTGGTCCTCTTTTGGATTATTTGTTATATTTAATCTGTCATTTTATTGGACTACTATTCTCAAACTAAGTTCTTGAGTTAAAATATGATAGGTAAAGTAAATACCCAATTAGCGCAAGTCGCCTTTGATAACCAGTTTAGTTTTCTTTTACTGGAAACATAATAACCATTTTCTGTTTAAAATAAAAGAAAAACTGAAAATTGTTTAAAACTTGTTTAGTAACAGTTTTTTTTCAGTTTTATATGGAACGTGGAAATGAATTTATTCTTGGGGCGAAATTATAGATTTGAGGTCATAAAAATGAACATGCATGTTACAAAGAACTTGTAGAAATTTTCGGTGAGTTTTTCAAAATTAGGATTAATTTTTGGTGAACTGGATGCAGTGGTGGATCTAACAAGGGACGAGTGAAGGCTATACCCCCCACTCACCCTTATTGCTACCCTTGAAGCAACTCCACCCATTTGCCCTTAGCCATGGCAAGGGGGGGAGCTAGAGCAGCTACTATTCACGTGAATAGTAGTTGCCCTTGCAAAATCCGAATTTTGAGTTTCCACCCGTTGCCCTTGCTAAGGGCAGTTACTATTCATTTTTTT